CACACACACGCGCGGTGTGAATAGTGTAACATCATGACACACACACACACACACACACGCGTACCCGCACTCCTCTGCTGTCAGTCTTCCCGGGACTGATGGACAACGGTCAAGATCTTGCTTCAACTTGTGACTCAGGCTGATATTTCCAGTGTCCGGTCACTCCGGTGATTTCATGTGTAACAACTTCTTCCTGATCAGAGCCGCCCGACATCAGCCCTGTGCGCAGTGACGCAGCAGAACCAGTGAGAAACAGTGACACCCAGCGGACACAACACAACACAACACAACACACCGGCGCACAAGAGACTGTAAAGAGTGATCAGTACAGACAAATCCTGCACACCATTTATTAAAAAGGATGTGATTTAAGAACGACTAATTTTATGAATAAATAACCTTTTAAAACAGATTTATTATGGTCACTGATTTTAAAATTACACATACAATATTAATTATATGTAATATTTAATTATACATATTAATATGATTTATAAATATGTATTAATTTGAATAAAATTAAAATAAATCCTATTTTTAAATATGTATTTACAATCATTAAAGTGATTTCTTATAACATATAATCATATATTAAAATCAGTTTGAATCTATTATATATGAAAATGTGATCAAGACACGTGATCAATACATGATCATCAATTTTATAATATTATATAATATATATTCTGAGCATGTGATAACAGTTTTTGTGACCTGCTTACTAAAGAAAACCTCTGCTTAAGCTGTAAGATAAATGAACTGATAGCAATACATAATTATGAATTTAAAAAAAGACATGAACATGTCTGTAACATGTCGTCTTATGACAGTTTTATTTACACAATACACACAGAGGTATAAAGCTTGCAGACAAGCCACCAGGCTTTTGAAATGTGCTCATATTTCATCATTTAGTTTTTTTTTCTTCATGCTTAAGATGATATAAATATCTTAATAAAATTGACATCCAGTCCAAAACTTCCATAAATCATAATAATAAAAAAAAAAATGTAGAAATGAAATTCGAAATGCCTTGAGATGATTGATATACACTATCACTCAAAAGTTTGGGGTTGGTAATATTTTTTTAAATGTTTTTGTAAGAGCTCTCTTATGCTCTCCATGTCAGGCACACAACACGGACACAGATGCAGGCTTCAGCAGCAAAACTGTTTATTATAATAAGTCCAAACAAAAAGGGAAATTCCTCGAATGAACAAAAAACCAGCCGGGGTAATAGGAAAATAGTCCAACAGAAATACTGAGCAAAAACAGTCCTTGCAAAAACACCCGGCAGAGGGCGCTCAATGGCGCGGCCGCACGAGGAATCAGCGGGTGGAGAGGGGAGGCAGAGGCAGGGAAGCCGGCGTCTGAGCGGGGCGAGAAAAACTTCTGCGGGGAAGCAGACGCCCGGCCTAGGAAACGGGGAAGGAGAAATAGAAAACCTTAGCTGTCCTCCAGGTGCGTCGACACCGTCGGACGAAAGCCAAGGCAGACGGGAAGGCAGCTTCGGGTTCCTGTGTGGGAAACAAGGGAGGTTGATAACCTACAGAACACTGGAATGGGGACATACCTGTAGCAGAGGCCGGAAGAGAATTGTGGGCGTACTCTACCCAGGACAGCTGTTGGCACCAGGAGCTCGGATTGTGGGATGCCAGGCAGCGGAGAGCACGTTCTAAATCCTGGTTTGCCCGCTCGGACTGCCCGTTGGTCTGGGGATGGAATCCTGAAGACAGACTCGTAGAGGCCCCGATCTTCCGACAGAATTCCCTCCAAAACTGGGAGACAAACTGGGGACCCCTATCGGAGACCACGTCGACCGCAAGACCATGAATCCGGAACTCCTTGGGCAAAATGGTGTCAACTGATTCCTCATCTCCAGGGGCCTCGAACAGACGAGAAAGTGCATCGGGCTTGACGTTTTTGGACCCGGGCCTGAAAGACAGGGTGAAATTGAATCGGCCAAAGAAGAGGGCCCAGCGAGCCTGTCGGGAGCTCAGCCTCCTGGCTGAACAGATATATTCAAGGTTTTTATGATCCGTCCAGACCAGGAAGGGCTGAGCTGCACCCTCCAACCGGTGACGCCACTCCCCCAAAGCCAGCCTGACCGCCAACAACTCCCGATTACCTATGTCGTAATTCCATTCTGGGGGACTCAGGCGGTGGGAGAAGAAGGCACAGGGGTGCACCTTCCCATCCTGGGGTGACCGCTGTGATGGACAAGAAAGCCCGGCAGGAGTTGGGGTCTCCATCATAGGGTGGTGGATTGTTGCATCGGGGCTCAGGCTCATGACGAGGAAGAGGATGAAGTGGACCACTCTGGGCAGCTCCTCGCTGCAGCTCTTGAATGCGAGTGGTAAGCTCAGCTACTTGGTTAGCCAGAAACTCCACCTCCCTTGTGGTGTTGGTCAGTCTGGCTTCATGCTGGCCCAAAAGAACTCCATTCCTTGCAAAAACACCCGGCAGAGGGCGCTCAATGGCGCGGCCGCACGAGGAATCAGCGGGTGGAGAAGGGAGGCAGAGGCAGGGAAGCCGGCATCCGAGTGGGGCGAGAAAAACTTCTGCGGGGAAGCAGACGCCCGGCCTAGGAAATGGGGAAGGAGAAATAGAAAAACAAAACCAAAGGAAGAAGCAACAAAAACCTGACAGGGAGCCGACAATGGCACGAACTATCTACCTACCTATCTGTCTCTGTCTGTCTATCCATCCGTTAGTCCATCCATCTATCCATCCATCTATCTATCTATCTGTCTGTCTGTCTGTCCGTCTGTCTGTCTATCCGTCCGTCTGTCCGTCCGTCCGTCTATCCATCCATCCATCCATCCATCCATCTAACGATCTAGCACTGGACGACACACAAGAGGGGAATAAATAGAGCAGGCGACTAACAGAACATTGAATTCAGGTGAGCGAAATCAAACAATAATGAGCAATACGGGTGGTAACGAGAGAGAGGGAGGAACGCCACAGAAGAGTACATGGTGAATGATCAAAACAAAACACCATGTGTTCACAACATGCAGACAGATACAAAACACAAAAACCGAAGGACAGGCTGATCAAACCGAGGACATGACACTCCAAGGCTGCATTTATTTGATCAAAAATCCAGTATAAACATATTATAGCATAATATACATAATATTATTCACATGATCCTTCTATTATCATTCTAATATGCTGATTTGCTGCTAATATATATATAATAAGAATAATTATTATTATTATCAATGTTGATAATATTTTGTGGAAACTGTGATATATTTTTTAGGATTATTTGATGAATAGAAAGTTAAAAAAACATCATTTATTTGAAATAGAAATTTATTGTAATATTATAAATGTCTTTACTGTCACTTTTGATCAATTTAATTGCATCATTGTTGAGTATTAATTTCTTTAAAAAAAATTAATAAAATAGTACTGACCCCAAATTTTTTAACTGTACTTTTAAGATCACCATAAACTCAACAAGCTTTGAATGATAAAATAAAAGAGTCTCCAAAAGCTCCCGCAGGGCAAACTCTTTGAAAGAAATTTCATTTTCAATAAGCTCATGATTACAAATTCTAAAACACCATGTAAGGTGGCCAACTGCTGCAAACAAACTCTGAAAGAGAGGGGAACATCTGATCCGTGGCAGAATATAGGCAAGGTCATAAACAGAGGTCTGCACATCCACAGCCGTACACTGAAATGAAGCCACGCTTTCACACAAGCAGCCAAAGAAAGGCAAAGCCCTTGTGTGTGCATCTGCTGCAGCGGAGCGGAGGAAGGCTTCTGTTCATGTGCAGCTAGAGCTTATTGACTGGCAGAGGTGAAGCAGCACTGAGGGCCGGGGATCAGGTCCGGCGCGGCTCCAGTCTGTGGGACAGCTGGGACAGGGTACGCTGGTTGTCAATCACACTAATGTGACGCACATAGCTCCGCACATCCTGATGGCTTTTACCAGTCGCCTGTGGTGCTTCTTGATCTAAAGTGATGAAATAGAGAGCAATGCACTGAGTTTTGCTGAATCAGATGAACTTAGACATGATTTTGATGTTAAGTTTCTACTGTTGTCTTACTGAATGGCTGACTCCGGCAGTATCTCATGATTCTGACTGTGTTTGCAATCATTCTCTGGAAAACACACAGGAAACATTGAACAAGTCTAATTTAACACCGTCTCAGAGATGGTGAGAAAGATCCCTTGCAAACGTACCATTTTCTCAAAGTTCACCAATCTGTCAGTAAACGTCTTGTTACCTTCATGTGTGAAAGTCATGTCTGAAATGCAAAGATAAACATTAGACATTTAAGCACTAATAATCTTTTTTGTATCATTAAACTAAACAGTTCTTCACAACATGTTGTGATTTCCATTAAATTAGTATTTTGACGCTTAATGTGCTGCGTGTGTGAATTACGTGTGAAGAAATATCCAAATGTACAGTATGATAAAATGATAGGAGTGCTATTTAATTTATTGTGTTTAATTTTGTTGTATACTTGCATGACATTTTTAATAACATAATAGTAATAACTGTTATGATGCTGATGAATCATCATTGTTGTCTTAAATGAAGATATATATTTAAATAGATGCAATATTCATTATATAAAATATTTGATTACATATCAGAATATTATTTATAAACATTTATTTGAATAATTATTCAAATAAACCTTACAAAATAAAAAGTACAAAAGTACAAATAATGCAGTCATTATAGCATTATTTGAAAATAAATTAACATTTTGACCATAACTGAAATTTAACAATAAATTAATAAAACGTGTTTTTATTAATGAATGCATTTATGAAAAAATGAATAAAACATTTGGAAAATGCTACTAATAAGACCATATAGGTGCGTCACAATTAATTAATTTAAAATTATTAAAAATGTGGAGAATGCTACTAATAAAGACTATTTAGCTGTGTCACACATTGTACTAATTAATTAAACATTTTTGTAGACAAATATATATGGTGCCTCTATGTCTTCATGAAACTTTTCATTTTAAATATACAGTATTGGAGGAGTTTCCATACTTCCATTTATGACATTTTCCGTTTGGCTGACTTTACTATTATTCAAAAATCTACTAAAGACCATGTTGATGTGTCACGTTTGACTGGTGTGTGTGATTGCAGTGTAAAGCTCACCTTTAATTAATAAAGGCATGAAGGGAATGATAGGTGGCTCTAACTTGGCCACTGTAAGTCGATACGCTCG